ATTAATGATTAGGCTCAGCATGGACAGACAGAACCTGAATCATGACATGCTCGCTTTCTGTCGTGCTGAAATGTTGTGGATAACATTCATATTTGTTTGCATATTGATGCTATTTGTTTGAAAGTTAATTCATAATTCCTTCTAGTTTTTCATAACTCTTTGGAAAATAAAACTTAGGTTTTTCAGTTTTTCTTTTAATATAGTTCACACCTGAATATTTCAATGTTATATCATCCAGTTGAGCATTCAGTTTAACTCAGCTATGAACGAGTTTGGCATCGGAGTAGTTTAGTCTTTGTATTTTTTTTATTTCCCCAAATAATCTTTTGTCTCTCATTTTGGTTGTGGGGTGTCAGCTATGTGCAGTTTACATTTTACTGCAGATGTTGACATTCATAGTGTTTGTCCGTCCAAGATCTTGAGGTGTGGTTTTCTACTTTATGTAGGTTCTGCCGTGAGATTGGGATCTGTGATATCTGGTTTTTAAACCGGTGCTGAAATAATCGTTCCCCAAACTGAAAATAAGCTATTTGTTTTTATTTTTTGTATCTTTTAGAGAATTGAAGAAGGGGTTTGAAAATGTAATATAAAATTGATACCACGTATATCACATGTAGTTTTTTGTTCCTTACAGATTTGATAAAGTCAATATGATGAATTTTGGCTATTTGAAAAAACAGGCCCAACTTAGTCAGGTAAGGGAGTTTAAAGATTAAGGAGAAACCTATGAGAGCATTCAATGAAAGACGCAGTAATGCTTTACCAGCTCTATATTTGTTAATGAAAATATTATATGTTTATGGAAAATTGCAGGGAAATGTTAATGACATAGTCACAAAACAGTTGAATTTATGTGCTTATTGCCAGATACAACAGGGCCATGATTTGGTTATTTCTTACCATTATTTGTTAGTAGTGGTGTGTGGACTGTCCTGGCGCAATTGGGCTGTCCTTTTATTTCGTATGGTTTTTTCTTAAACAAATAATGCATTTTTCTTGTTATAACTCAGGAAAGACTCGTGGTGTCACTGTGCACCAGCAAACGAGAATGTAGGCTGACGACACCTCAATGATTATAAAGCGTCCTTTTCCAGTTGTATTTCAGCTGACTAAATTGCGTTGTGTCTGCTTACGATGGGAGGTTTACTATTATTGTCCAAGGAATAAGAAATCCACGATTGATACATTTCACCAACTGGGCAATCGGTTTGGCGTACATGTTTTTTTTTCTTGCACCAACAATGGGATTCGGGATCTTTGCACTTGGCTGCGGCCTTGCTTTTATTTTTATCTCCCGTCAGTCTGTGAATGGAGACGTGAGCTACTCTGTCCCAGAGGAGAGGAAGAAAGGATCCGTAATTGGAAATATTGCAAAGGATCTGGGTCTTGAAGTGGGGACGTTGTCCTCCCGCAAGGCCCGTATTGATACAGATGATGAGAGCATGAAGTACTGCGGCTTAAATCTTAACACCGGAGAGTTGATTGTTCAAGAACGGATCGACAGAGAAGGTCTTTGTGCAAAAAAGCCATCGTGTGTCCTCAAACAAGAACTAGTGCTAGAAAACCCCTTAGAGCTCCATCGCATTAGTATTCGTGTTCAAGACATTAACGATAACTCTCCGCAGTTCAAAGAGGATTCATTGAAATTAGAAATCCAGGAATCGGCAGTTAAAGGAGCAAGTTTTCTTCTGGACGAAGCGCACGATGCAGATATTGGTGACAATGCAGTTCAGGGCTATTCACTCAAAGAAAATGACTATTTCAAATTAAATGTGAAGACTAAAGGAATTGGGAGAAAATATGGTGAATTGGTTTTGGAGAAGGAATTAGACAGAGAGGAGAAGAAAGAAATGATATTGATGCTGAGCGCATTTGATGGTGGCTCCCCTCGGAGGTCTGGTACTGTAGCCATTTACATTACTGTTCTGGATGCTAATGATAATGTCCC